GAGGATAAAAATCATTAAGCAATATCGAGGTACACTCAATTACTACTCTTTCAGACTTTCATCCTGCGGCCTACAGTTATTACCACCTCCCTCCTGCTAGCACTTCTGTATTTATTTACCTGCTAGTAACTGCTGATATTTCTTGAACTTCCCTAGCTACTGTCAAAGAGCTATCTATCTGATACCCTTGGGCTCTACATCATGTGCATTTGCACTACATAAAACTGTATCTGCAGGTGCAGACTGCTGAGCCTAAAGTAGTGCAATACATGTAATTGTACTGTTAGCTTATAGTGATACAGTTGTGGCATAGTATAATCAAGTGTGTATAAACTTTTTTCTTCTATATCCATCACATGTAAGGTAGTTTTTATTTAACTAAGAAAAACAAAAATGTTAAATGCTGTTTTTTTGCCTTTTTAATTGAATGCAAATTTCCATCCAAATTCAGCTTAAACACAAATCACAAGTAAAAAATGAATCTAGTTAATAAGAAATAGATCATTCACCATTTTCTAACACAAAAAATATAAGAGTTCAGAATCTTCCTAAACACATGTTAAGCTATATAATTGCTTAAATTAACATGTACAGATATAGTGTACCCACCTGGTTAGCATAAAGTTCCTAATTTAGTGTAAAAGACTACATTTGTTTGCAAATCAAGATGTTTTAATTATTATTATCCCATGAGAATCAACCTTTCTTTAGGAGAATAACTAAAAAGGTACATATGCAAAACAAAATTAAGAACCAGTGATTATTTAAATTAAGGTTTCCAGCTTGCGGATTTAAAAAAAAAAAAAAAAAAATCAATCCACCCCCAAGTATATTTGCTTTAAAAAGCATTAAGATACTAAAAATGTAAACTTTAGCACAGTGAAATATGTACAAATCATTGCTAACAAGTAATCTGAGTCTGTAACACAAGCTAGTCATTGAGAAAGTCATACCCCAAAGTAGATGGAAGGTTTGGGTTTGTAAATGAAGCTATGTTGTTGCAGAAAGTTTGCCCAGACACTGGGAAGAAACAATATTCTAAACTGACAGCCCTTCATCTGACAGCTTTCCAACTTGAAAGGCTGACTGTACTGAAAGCTTGGCGACCCCTACAGTCAGTGTTCAAACACCAGCACTACAGCACAAAGCACAGCAGATTCCAGCTGGAGCCCTGTAGAGTCAGCTACTGTGAGGCAGCTGGCCAGTAATAAGTAGGAGGTCTACTCCGTTATTACACCTTGGTTTCTACTGCGAAGTGTCTGCTCATCACAGAAAAAGCCAAGATGTAACATAGGGAGACGCGACAAGCCAGAATGAATAGATGGGCAAATAAACCATTACTTTTTCTGGTGCCACTTAACACATTATTTTTAGGCTTACCCATAGTTTTTAGCTCCCTGGGGAAGGCAATCTCAGTTTTTACAAATGCCTTCTTTGAGAAAATGAAGATATTTTGCTAAGTAAATACAAGCTACACCATACAGACCCAGACTGCAGTCTAAGACATAGCAAATTGGAGTAACACTATGTAACAGAATCTATAAACTAAACAACCCTCCACTACCAAACCACACAGATTGGCAAACTGCAATACAGAGAAGAATTAAAGAGTCAGCATTTATCAACACATCATAGCATTCAACACGCTGCAGTTTTCAACATATGCTTAAACTAGGCTCCAATACCACAGTGGTTACTGTTGGTAATATTAACTTTTACTAAAATAATTAAAATTGGCAGATTCCTCATGAATACCTAAAACCATGGATACAATTTAAAGTTTACAGTTATAGAAGGCTGATTTTACTATATTATACAAGTGAAATGAGTTAAACTCTGATGACATTAAAGTGGGCAATAATGAAAACCAACACAAAATAAGTGGTGGTGGTGGTGAGGAGTGGGGGTTTTGTGCATTTATGCACTGCAATCTAGCATAAAAGCCATTTCCTTTACAAACACCTAGCTTAGACAGACATTAAGTTCACAGATAGACCAACAAATGGCTTGTTCGCCATTCAAGAATTATTGTAGAGTACTAAGTGAAAACAAATATTTCAACATACTACACCTGCATGATAGATATATTAAAAGACAAGTTATGCTGAGTTCATAGGGAGGAAAAAATACCTTAAGAGTTACAGTTCAGATATGTGCTGGAGAACAGAAAATAGCAGCAAACATTTTATGTTTAAAACAATGATACAAAACTGTATGTGCAGTTATGACTACATATTTGTGATAATCAGAGTCCAGACATCCCAGAGGAAGAACAGGGGCCTGAAACCTCCCAAATAAACAACTGAATGCTGTATACAATACTATTTTACTACAGTAACTCCTCGCTTAACGTTGTAGTTATGTTCCTGAAAAATGCAACTTTAAGCAAAATGATGTTAAGCAAATCCAATTTCCCCATAAGAATTAATGTAAATGGGGGAGGGGGGGTTAGGTTCCAGGGACATTTTTTTCACCAGACAAAAGACTGTATTATATATGTATAAAAACAGTATAAGTTTTAAGCAAACAATTTAATACTGTACACAACAATGATGATTGTGAAGCTTGGTTGAGGTGGTGAAGTCAAAAGGTGGAAGAGGGTGGGATATTTCCCAGGGAATGCCTTACTGCTAAATGATGAACTAGCACTTGGCTGAGCCCTCAAGGGTTAACACCTTGTTGTTAATGTAGCCTCACACTCTACAAGGCAGCATGAATGCAGGGAGGGGAGACAGCATGGCAGACAGAAACACACACCCGGTGAGCGAGACATGCATTGCCCCTTTATGTACGCTGACCCTACTCTAAGTACGTTGCCTTTTTAGATCAGGAAGTTGAGACAGCAGCTGCTGCCTGCAAGCTCCCTCCCTCGTCCTGAGCCCTGTCTTGTTGTCCCTCCACCCCCTGCTCTATGGAGATAGGATAAGCAGGTGGCAGGGGGAGGGGGACACCCTGATATTAGTGCCCCCGCTCCATCCCGCCACAGCAAGCAGGAGGCTCCCGGGAGCAGCTCCAAGGCAGAGTGCAGGAGCAGCACAAGGCAGTGGGGGGAGGGACAGCTGAACTGCCGGCAATTGATAGCTTGTTGGGCGGCTGCTGCACAGGGAACTTAAGGGAGCAGGAAGCTGATAGGAGGGCTGCCGGTCCACCCTGGTTCCAAGCCCCCACCAGCTAGCTCCAACAGGCTGCTCTTTCTGCAAGCAGTAGACAAAGCAGGCAGCTGCCAAACGTTATACGGTAACATTGCGCAACTTTAAACAGGCATGTTCCCTAATTGATCAGCAACGAAACAACGTTAACCGGGACAACTTTAAGTGAGGAGTTACTGTATAAATGTGTATTAAGTAAGGTCTTTTATGAAAGCCAGCAACACACTGGTCATGAATATCATTGTGAAATGTATGTATTAACACTGTGAGGAAGCATGGATACTCATTGATATTGTGCATTCAAGGCTGATCAGACAAAGGGAGAAACAGGGTTTCTCTCAGACCGGAGGGAAGGTAGCTATCTCCCTCTCCCTAATGTAAATTAGGCAATATGGAACCAAAACAATGGAAACTCCATTTACATATGAGTCAACAGGGGGATGGGATGAACAGCAGGGGGTCATCCTGCTTCTGGAGACAAAACAATGAGTTTGGAGAAGTATAAAGAGAAGCAAGAAACCATCACTTAATGGACACAGAAATCTGTGAAAGATGGATCCCTCAGCCACATGGATTAAAGACACTGATCTGACTGTAACAGTGAAATTGCCTGAGACCAAGATTGTAATCTGTTAAATTTTAGACACTGGAAAATGTGTTTTATTTTTGTCACCATTTTCTGTTTCTATTATCCTTGCTTACTCTCACTTACATCACTATTCTTATTAATAGACTTACTTTTGGTTTTATCATAAAATCATCCCAGTGCTGTGCACTAAAGTGTGGATCCTCAGCTAAATTTAGAGGCAGTAAACTTGGTGATTTCTGTGAACGTCCAGTGATAGGAGCTGGATACTGCAGAGGAACGCTCTCCTGGGGGTTCAGGAACTGGGGTTCACTGAATGTTACCTGCAAAGCTAGGTTAAGACTGAGAGAATCTCAAGGAGTTTGTTGGTGAGGTGGACACACTGGTGTGGCAGGGAGCTGACACACAGTTTAAGCTCCAGCAAAACTCTTTCTTGCTGAGGCAGAGGGGTAACAGTGGCTTACGGTTTGGGGCACCCTGAGAAAGCATCACAATATTTAAAAAGTCTCTTCCAGTGAAAGTTTGATTAGAATTACACTTGAAGTGGTTTTACATCAGTTAATATATTAAAGGGCTTTTATATTTTTTAAAAACTTTAAGTTAATAAATATTAGGCCAGAGGTTTCAACATTAACGGGCCCTTGGAAATCAGAGTTTTGCCACTGTCTTCACCTGAAGTGTTTTTACAAGTGCCAAAATTAGACCAGGTTTTCAAAAGTTGCCTCTAATTTTGTGGATGGAAAAATGCAGGCAAAAATTTATATTTGCAAATCTGGTCCTTGAAGTTGGAGCTAGCAATCTAAACATACTATGGGGAGGTGTTCTTTATTATTAACTCTCCATTTATTGCTGGTTCAGCATCCAGTAAGTCAGTTTTCAACTCACTCATGCCTTATGGACAACATAAGTTTTCATCTTTTGTTTATATTTCTAGAGCTACTGGCATGAAAACTGGTTCTCTGTTTAACAATTCACCAGTTCTTGCTTTTTTAAACACCACTTGAAGCCATAATCCTCTGTGACAAGCCAACTAGTTCCTGAAGAAGTGTTTATAAATGTCAAGACAAATACACTATGACCTCAGCTGAGAACATGCACCACCAGAAACAAATGAGTCAGCAGCAGCAAAGACCATGTTTCATACAAATATCCCTAGCAATATATTAAAGAAAAAGTCAGCCAGTATTTTTTCAGGATCTGAAAATGTAAGTCACTATATATAGAGAAGGAATGTAGAATTATTTCTTTTAATCACAGTGTCATACCTGCGTGAAATATTTTCCATCGTGTTTCAGGACTTTCATTGAAAGGTCAAGAATCAATCGTAGAAACTCCCACGTAGAATCTGGATATAAAGAATGAATTAGAATCTTCAAGTACTAGTGGCTTGTTAAGCATTACATAACTAATATTTAAGCACTGCTGCTGAGTATTTCAGCAGGATGATTATTTTTCTCTATCATTAGTTTAAATAAAGTGTTGATTACCAGCACTTGGGCTCCTGGGATTTTTGTCAGGTTTTTTTAGAATTTCTGAGAGACTTTGCATAGCTTGTAGTGTGAATTCCCACACTTATTTTCATGAGTTTCCACTATTCAGCTGACTGTGCTTAAAGTCAAACTAAAGCGGTAAACAAAGAAAATTTCAGGAAAAAAAAAATCAAGTCTTCAATGCCAGTAACTGGACTTTTTAAGCCCAGAATGCAAATAGAAAAGTATTTCATTACCAATAAGGTAATGCAGTTTCCACCCAGCCAAGGGCACAGAGGAAGCAAGCATGCAATCCTAAACTATGGAGGTTAGATGCGTAAGTGACATTCCCCCCTCAGCTCTAATTTTTCACACTGCAAGGTGCATATTGGTAAGCAGAGTCCTGAAAATAAGAAAAATATGCAGGAGAAAGAATGTAATGGTGATTCTTTAAGTCATTGGATGCATGCATTAAACTAACCCTTGTGAAGATTTAACTTGTTTCGCAAGCATAACTGCAATCGGCAACTCAAGCTAACAGTTATCTGTCATCTTGAAGGCATTACTGGAGAGAAATCTAAAACAGCGCCGCCTAATGAAAATATTGAGATCTTGCTGTCCTTCAACATACAGCACAATAAGACTTCAACTTCTTCTAGCCATTCCATCCACACCGTGTCTTCTGCCAGGAAAATTCTATTCTCCATAGTTAAGGTATCTTATGTTCCCTAAAGTGTTCCATATCCATATTTTAATAGAATAGTGATATAGCACATAATAATTCTGAAGTCCTCAACTGTTTTGAAAAACGACCTCAACTTTCAGACTTGCTCAGCAACCTTCCATATTTTCTTTTTGTCTGTCTTGCTTGGGGGCTGCTACTGGATTTCTCCGCCCCCCCAAAAATGTCAATCAAGGAATAAGCAACAGCATGGGAGTTAAAAAAAAACAAACAGTAGAATTAGGACCAGGAGCCATTATAGAATGTTTGGAGACAGTTTTTTCATGCTGTGCTATGAAATCAACCCATCTTTCTCTAATATGCACTGAAAGGCAGGGTCTTTTGCAGTTGCATACTGTAACCCTACTCAGTGTAATGAGTCATCTGGACTGTAATCCAAATATAGCCGAAAAATGCCCTGAGTTGGTACTAGTAATACTGAATCTAAACATATCAAACGTTTGCATTCTCAAAAAAATGCTTTTTAAACAATCTATAAAAATCCTCTTTCGCACAATTTTCTCTAAGCGATATCTGGCCTGATATGAAACAAAAGCAGTATTTTAAAAATAAAAATCAGAAACTTAAACATTGACCTTTTAGAAATGTATTCTAATATACAAAAGCCAAAATATTACTACTACAAAGCAGGGGTAGGCAACCTATGGCACGCGTGCCGAAGTCGGTTCTGTATAAAATAATTGCCAAAACTTACAGTATGACTACAGTAGTTTATATTGTACCATCACCCAGAGAGGAAGTAAATTCCTGGGGGGCGGGAGGGAGGAGAGGGAAGAAATGCTCCAAAGAGAAAAGAAATCTGGGCAAAAAATGCTCCAAAAACGTACATGCTAGAGCAGCAACTCAAATATAGTGTGACACTATTATATTTATTTTCAAAAACATAAAACATATCTCCCTTCCTGAGAACATAAAATAGTGTGTCCCCCAATTTCATAAGACCCAATTAAAGAAAATGTACATTCAAGTTCTGTAGGTCACAAATCTATGGCAAGCTGTAAAAAAGAGATTTGTGTTTCCAAAGTCTTCTATAGTTTATAAACTAGCTGTACTGTTTAAATTCAACTCGAGAAGTGGAGGTGGGGGAAAATAAAGATCCTGCTATGACATTTACTTCAAAATTTGCAAGGAAAGTACTCCTCACTTCCTCCTTCTCCCAATTCAGGAACTGAATGCTAAAATTTAGAAGTCCTGATCGTCACAATTCTTCTCTCCACCTGCATGCATGTGCACTCCTTTCCCCCCATCCCTTACTTTTCTTCCTAGTGCTCCTAATTATGAGAACATCTCTGGTCTCAAAAGAGCATGTTACTTATAGAAACTGCTGTGAATACCACCCCACACACCCCTGAATGAGACTCTGACATGGCTGAAATAAACTCTTAGTAAGTGTACAGTTGGCTGCTGTGCAATGACTAGGTCCCTGTCACCACCAACATCCAGAAAAGCGGGGGGGGGGGGGGGGGGGGGGGGGGGGGGGGGAGGAGAGGAAAGGAAAGGAAACGACGTACTTGTGGATATATGTCTACACTACTGCAGGGAAAAAAAAGCCATGGCAGAGTCTTAGAGCCCACATCAACTGACTCAGACTCACACTACAGGGGTAAAAATGGCAGTGCAGATGTTCCCACTTGGGCTGGAGCTCAGGCTCTGAAACCCACAGCGGGGGGGGGGGGGGGGGGGGGGGTCTGAGAGCCTGAGCTCCAGCCCAAGTGGGAACATCAACACTATTTTTAGCCCTGCATCAAATGACCCAGGCTGAGATTCACTGCCACAGGTTTTGTTTTGGCGTTTTTTTGCAGTGTAGATGTACCCCATCGCTGCACTCTGCTATTTAGCTTTTGATAGAACTAGTTGTGACCCAAGAGCCCCACGGAGCTAGGCAATCCAGACAGATGCTCCGGAGTTGGAGTGTGCCTTTCACTAACCTGCAGAATGTCAGCAGGGCTGAGTAGGCCTAGAGGAGTGTGCTTGTGTTGCCCGTGGAGTTGGGGAGCTGACCCATGGCAGGTACAGACAAGGTTTCCTCAAGGTGAAGCCAGGAGGGGTAGGGGGCGGGGCAGAAGGGGCAGCAAGGTTCCTCACAGCCCAGAAGCATCACATAAGGTAAAAAAATCCCCCTCATTTTAACCCCCAAAATAATATTTTGCTGCAAACTGTCAAGAAAACAAAGTGTTAAAAACAGTTAGTATAAACAAAGAATTAACCTTCTTCGGGAGATGTGGAGATTGGAACAGCTGTCAGATCATTAATTACATAATCAAACATCCTTCCTTCTTTGGCATACCTCTTCAGTACTGGAACACAGTCTTCTATTAGAACCTAAAAAATTATTGTTTTAATAAGTGATCAAAATCCTCTTAAACTGACTAGACTAATATGATGTATAGGAATTAAAATAGGGAAAGGGGTCAGAATTAAGCCTGACTTTAACATAAGGTTCTAATCTTAGCTTTTTATATCTCCACATAGAAGGCAATGCTGGGGGGATGGGGCAGCAGAGTGATGCAGCAGCGAACCAGAATTTCCATTCCCAGCTCTGTCACCGACTGCTGGGTGACCACTTAGATCATTTGTGCCTCTGTTATTCCCCATTTTGTAGATGGGGAAGTAGTTAATAGCGTCACAAGATAATTGCAAGTTTTGAGATCCTTGGATGAACGGCACTTGACACATGCAAAATATCATGCAATTTTTGCTAGTTTTTCTCCAAGAAAACTAGCTAGTGTTCAAGGATATGTCATTGGGAAGAATAACCTTGCAGTTAAGATACCGAACTATGATCCAGTAGATCTGGGCTAGTTTACCTGCTCTGACAGACATGATATGTTACATACCCTTCTCAGTAACCCTGTTTCTTCTTTTTTCCAATGGGGAGCGGGTGTAGAATATTTACTCATATGAATAGAATTTGCCAACAGATTTCAAGCAAATAATAGCACAGATAAAACCAAATTAACCCCCCAATCATGTGAACTATACCTGAGATTCTGAATGATGCACTAGCATTGATTTAAGTTTATGATTTGCATTACTTCTCAGCCAGTTTATACTGGGAGATATTAGATACCATACTCTATTTTTATATTAATATTACCTATTTTCACTCAGCTACTAACAAGGTTTGGTGATGGCAATATGCATTATTATGTTTCAAGTTTCTTTATTATTCCAAGTGTGAGTTGTAAATATTAAAAAAGCAGAGTGGGTTTGGAGATGGAGAGTTAAATATTTCAAAATTAATGGATCAGTGTGTTTAATCTAAACCCTGGTGCAAAATATACTATGATTTAGAAATGCAGATATGGATTAAACCTAAAGTAGGAAAGAAAATGTTAAGAAGCCAGATGGCATACAAAAAACTTCCCAAAACAATACATCCCAGATCTAAATCTAGATGTTACTTGTAATGAAGGTAACAGATAAATTACCTGATAGCATTCTCCTTTAAGATTGTCTAAGACATCTCCACATGTTTTACGCATGTATTTTTTACACCCGTCGATCACCATTTGGTCAATGTTTGATGTTAGTTAAGGAGCATTAAATTCTGTTCACCTTTTATTAACCAAAGTTTTGGAGGGTTTTTCCCTTTTATCAAAGAGATACAGTCAAACTTATGGAGGAATAGTAATAGTAATATAATTTCCTGCAACATCTAGGTTTAGGAATTAATTCCCAACCCCAATTAGAGGTTTACGATATTATTTATATAAAAAAAAAAATTCTTTCCAACCAGCACTGTTGGTACCATAATTTACCATACATTTTAAAAGCGTAATGTTTTAGTACAATGATGATGATAATTATTTTGGTTTATAGCTAATGAAATTTCCTATGTACAGTGACTAACAGCAAATCATATCTGGAAAATGGAACTTTGAAATCTTATTTATGAAGCCACCTTTGGATCATTTTCTTTAACTGATATCTGAGAAAGAGGATACGGTAGACACATGTGCCATCATCATTAAGAACCAAATCCTGAAGTCTTTAATCAGGTGACATTCCCATTGACATCAATGGCTTTAAGTTACCTAAATAAGAAAATCGGGATTCAGCTCAAAGTGCAGAAAATGGTGTCCCAGAGCTACGGTTTGGATTAGGAACTTGGAACTATATATTCCATGGCCAGGATCAGATCTCACAGTCAGTGCCTGCATGCTGCAGTGATTGGGTCTAAAACCATTCCTATTTTTTGGCTTAGAGAGAGCCAGTCTCCCAACATAAGTTCATATACGAGACATTTAATTTGAGGTCCCAAGATACAAAAGGAAGAGTATGCTGTATTATTAACATGAATGGTCATTTGTTGAAAGGATATCTCCACCATGGTGACCATCTTTGGTTTCAGTTTGACTATTTCATATAGTATACCCCCATCACCACCTCCTAGGATCAGCACTTCTTTCCCAGTGTAGTCTTCTTTCCCACTGCCCATTATGGCTTGCGTATACGCCAGGTCACTCTCTGCCAGATCTGGAAGGAACAAAGAGAAAGTTGGTCAGAAGCTTTGCATTTTTAAGTCGTTAATCACTAAATACAGAAGACCAGATGCATCTTAAAGCAAGGCTGTGTATTGTCTGTGAGAAAATCAGGATGGATTTTATATTCTTCAAGAACAAAAAAAACAACATGCTTACAAGTGTTAATGTTATAAAATCCAGCTCTCCAAAGTGAGGACATGCCAGAACTAAGGGCTTTCCCGGCATGGAATTTTTATGGCTACTTCCGCCCCCATCCCATCATTTACTCTGCATGGGTAGATCTGCATGATGACCCCTATTAGAGTCAATGAACTCTGTGCAGATGTGACCGCAAGCAGCCAATTGCAGGTGGGGGCATTACTGCATACCCTCTGCTAATTCACTGACTTTTTCTTACACCTCAGTTAATTGAGCAGTTCCCTGGGCTATCATTTTATTAGATATATATATATATATATATTTGTCTACACGATGCCTGCAAAGCACACCAGAGGGGTTTGAAATCACGGCAGATCTGGCAGTGTTCTTTCCTGTGGCCCTCCTCCAGACACTTGAGACAACTCAAGTGAGGGTCGCTGGTAGGCCTAGGCTTGCCACAGGAAGCACACTGTTTAAGCCCCAGTGACCGAGGCATGCCCCCGGTACTGGGGGAGGAACGGACAGCCTCTCCGGGCATGGAGAGGAGCCCTACTCCTACTACACTAAAACAACTAAAAACTAGACTAAGAAACTATGTACAGGAAAACTATAGCGAGAACCACTAAAGGCACTTTGCAAAGGCAAAGAGGGCAGTTCCAACAGCCGTCACGGGCAGTAAGAAGGAACTGAAGAGCGCAGGCTCAGCGGGGCCCCTTATATCGGTTCTATGTTCACGCAGCACCAGGCGGCGCCAGAGTCGAGCCAACTAGGGGAAAATTTCCGACAGCTGTGCTCAGGGCATGCACACACCTAAATCGGAATGGACATGTACAAGCACTCGAAGAAGTAGTAGTATTGATGGGGAGGTTGAGACCGCTAATTGGCTGCCCCTAGCTGGCCTCAACCAAAGAGAAAGCAAGTGGCCAAAGGCCCAAATATTTTAAAGGGGAAAATAAGCCATCTAACAAGGTTATGAAACCCTAAGGCAGACTAGGGAAAATCATTTCATTTGTCCTTTAAAATAATGGGCAGTTGTTTAGAAGATGGATGACTGAGTTTGCTTTCCTGTCCCTTAAAGTAACTGTCAGAGGTTGCATAGCCTGAGAAAGGGTTAAATAAATATAAGAGAGATCTCTTCACTATTCTCTGAAACTTTCTGTTTGATACTTTGGGAAAAAATGCCTTTAACACACACACACACACTCCTTCCCTCCCTCCAAAAACTCCACACAACATCCATGGGAAACTAACAAAGGTGTGTTCTGATAAGATAGAATCCAAATAACCTACAGCTTCAGACCAACAGCACATTGTAAAGAGACCATACTTACTAACATCCCCACTGAGGATAAGAATATTCCCAAACTGTTTCGAATGTAGAATTTTAATATTCTGATAAGGCGACTCTTCATCATAAACAACCTCATCTATGTCATACTCTACCAAACGCCCATCAGCCGTGGGCCAGTATCTATCAATGGCTTCTCCTCTCACAATTGCTGGCAATCTAAAGAAGGGAAAAAAACAAAAACTATTCACAATTCAATCTGAAAGTTAACAAACATTCCTCATTCTCCTTTAATTTAGCATAAATGCAGTACATGAAAGATGCTCTCCCACCCCCATAGTACTTAACATTTTCTTATCATCATTAGGAACGCAGTACTACATAACTGAATGTAGTGGACACCTACTCAAATACATGTTTAATCTACGATTTTGCAAGAAAATACTATCTAAATAGTATTCATACAAAAAAATAAAAATCTGCGAATGTGATTTTTAAATTTTTCTTGTATTCAGTAAGATTGCACTGTCTACAAAGTTATTCCAATTTGTGTGTAATGCTCAAGAAGGTTATTTTAAATATTTTAGCTAGCAGTCAAATATACAAGGATTGCTAGTGTCTACAGGAGAATCTGGGTGTTGGTACTTTAATTTAGCACTATTTTAGCAACCTGTGTGTGAATCAGTCTTTTATAGCGGGGAAGAGGATTTGTGTAACACTAGACACTTAATTTGAAACTAGAAACTGAAATTAATGACACAAATGCAGAACATGGGCAAAAAGACACCAAACAAGTTTAAGCACTGTCTGCCTTTATTCTTAACGTAAATGTGAAACACATTTGGATGTTTTCACCAGAATTTGCATTAATTACTGAAAGTCTGGCTCAGATATGTAGCCTCAAAGTTGGATGAATCTAATAAGTCATTTTACAATTTCTTAATCGAGTATAAATTCAGTTTTAAAAAATGAGTTAGCTTTAAAAAGACAAATTCACATTCAATGTTCATGTTAAGGTGACACCAACAGATCAAAATGCTTTTGTTATGCTTCTGTGCATAAACACGGATTTAATTTGTTTCCTATTGAGGAGAATTAAGCTTTTTGAAAAAATAAATGAATTCATCTTTTGAATTTCCAGTGATTCTAAAGGACAAAAATCAAAATTATACCTTCTGAGAGACACTAGATGGCAATACACGGTGGGAGAAAGTAAAAAAATAAATATATATATATTACACACACATACACACGCACAAATATGAGACGGCAAAAAAAAAAAATCAGGAACTGCAATTTCTGGCTGTTCTGCGTCCAGAGTGAAAGACCTTTGCTGTCCTTATAAAATTAACACACATGGACAAGATAGCCTCACCATTTGAGCACATCAAAATATCAAACAAATTAAAATGCTACTTTCTCCACTTTTTTATTTATTCAACTCAATTGTTATGAAAATATTTCAGACTACTTTTTCTTTATTTTGGATTCCCTTTCTCTCTTCATGCACCATAATTATTATATAGTATACAAAGGATCAGTATTACAGAATGGCTTAAGCTATACACAATTTAACAAGCCTAGTGGCGATATTTATCAATTCTGAAATAAAACCACCACATTTGTCGGAATTGAAAAAGCAGACATGCTCCCACTAATAAATATATATATTACATACACACACTGACTATTTATAGTTTTTTATAAAGGCAATAATTTATTATTGGTGATTTTAACAGCCCCTTAGAAACTTAAAACTGAGTTTCCTTACAAACTCCACCACAGCACTATAGAATGTGTCTGGGAACCAAAAATCTCTCATTTAAAAAAAAGTCGTGGAATTTGCTAGATACAAAAAAGTCAATTTTGCACCTACCAATCTTGACAGTGTTTCTTTGAACAGGTATTTATTGTAGAAATTAACTGCCATAGGAAATTTTCAAATCAGTATACAAAAATATATTTACATATACGCATCTGTTTGAATAAATCTGAGGATTAGAAACAAAAATTAACAGTAAATCAAAAGGTATGTCCACAGACCTGTCCACTACACTACAGGATCAAAACCAAATTGTGTCAATCCAGAGTGATTCCCTGACTTCAGAAGAATTGGGCCCTACTTACACCTGTGTAACAAAGCAGGATTTGACTCACTTTCAATGTTAATATAAATCAAGTTAAAAGGTGATGATACATTAAAAATAACATACCGCTTTACCCTTTTGATACTGCTGTGAAACAACTCTTTCATTTTTTCTTCTATCTTATTTAGTAACTGTAAGAAACATGAAAGATGTTAAGTTTACAAAAGGTCAGAAATACACTTCCCCACCCACAATACAGTAATTTGAAATAGTGTTAAATAAGGTGTAAAAAGGAGTCTCCCTGTGGTGCCTATACAGCTGGGATGGGGCCACTGGCCACGCCCAATTATCACCCCGAGGTCAGGTCAGCCCAGCCCAGCCCCCAGCCTTTTAGGGTATGTCTACACTGCAATTAGACACCCGCGGCTGGCCCGTGCCAGCTGACTTGGGCTCACCAGGCTCAGGCTGTGGGGCTGTTCAACAGTAGTGCAGACTTCCAGCTCAGGCTGGCTGTGGGACTCTAGGACCCTGTGAGGTGGGAGGGTCCCAGGACTCAAGCTGCAGCCCGAGCTAGAACACCTCCTACACCACAATTTATCAGCCCCGCAACCTGAGCCCCACAAGCCCGAGTCAGATGGCCTGAGTCAGCCTTGCAGGGCTGAAAACTTGCAGTACAGATGTTCAGGCTTGGGCCTGAACGTCTGCACAGAAATTTTACAGCCCCACAAATCCAAGTCAGCTGACCTAGCCAGCCACAGATGTTTAATCGCTGAGTAGATATATCCGACAGGTAAAAGCCCAGAGCCAGCAGAACTCCAGTTAGCAGTCCATGAGTTTCTTAACTTACGGCTTGAGTATCTACACTCATTTGTAACCCCAGGTTAGGAATTGTTGAACCCTGGGTCCCAACCTGCATCTACACTGCATTATGTGGGCCTGAATCCAGCCACCCAACTTTCCTAGTACCCTCCCAACACATGGCCTCTCTAACCCTTGGTTCACGGTGTAGTGTGGGAAACCTTGAGTGACCACCACACGACTGTCAAGAGGACAAAGAAAGTCAGCACATGGGAGCATGGAATGCCTTTGGTGGACATGTCCTTTGGGCTATGTCTACCCTGTAAAGCAACGGGTCTCAAACCCTGGATCCTGGCTTGACTCAGGCTCATGGAGTCCTGAGAGCCTGGGTCCAAGCCCTAGGTTAACACAATTTGTGTTTAGATGGAAGGAAGGGGTTAGGCTTGAGGCTGAGTTTGAAAGAGGTCAGTAGCAACACCTTACTTTGGGGGTGCCTGGGTAGCAGCTTTATTGGACTCTTGGCCAGGTGGCCAAGCCAGTCTCTCCCTCCTCGGGGGGTGGGGGTGGGGGCAAGAGAGGTGTAGGACCTCTGGCATTGGGAGGTTCCTCCTAATGCTTCAGCAGCCACTTCCTTCTCAGGGCTTCCTCCTTGCTGATGACAGCTTCCTTTTTACCATGCATGACTGGCGTAGCTACCTTAGCACACAGAGCCCACACTGGCCCTGGCCCTTTCAGTGCGGTATTTCACACCCTGTTACACTGGGTATCTCAAGAGGAAAGTAATGACACAGCCTTTCACTTGTAAGTTACCAATACAGATCTGGTCAACGTTATGACAATATGAAGCCAATGTGAAGTTAGCAGTCTCAGCCCAATTCCTAGTAAACAGCATCCACATTACAGCAGCTACAATCACAATTGGCACATTTATTGACAATATCAGCCTACAGGCCAAGGATCAAATGGGCATACAGAGGCTCTCTAAGTAAAAAGGTAGTTGATTCTCCAACTTGGCATTCAGACACAGCAGCATGTGGAGGCTGCACTACCACTAAGCAGTGTCACCTCCGGATGGTGGGAATAAGGCGTTTCAGTTGAACAGCAGTTGCAGTACAGCTCTCCCAAACTGGGCATCTGACCTGGCTGCTAACTTAAGGGCATGAAGCTTGACAAAAGTCAGTGAGTTACTGACACTGCTGCCTTGCAGATATTCCTGAAACTGGCAGAAGACACTGTTTGTGCCCTGGTGGAGTAGGCCTTCATATCTGGAGGGAGAGGTACATCAGCCATCTGGTGACCTATCTAGATAAAATGTCCTAAGCAGCCTCATATGGCCACAAAAAGACATCCTGAAAGATTTAGTTCTATTAATATACTAGAGCAAGTATGTGTATATATACAGAGAGAGAGAGAGAGAGAGAGTTCTTGAGTCTAAATCAGGTAGACAGAGTTAGGCAGACGATTTAGCCAACACTAAGAGGTACCGGATTGGACGCCACGGTTTTTTTTGTTACCACGGGTGGTAAGAGGTGAGGGGAGGGTGGCAGCCACTTTTACTCTTGCATGAGAGTACAAGGAGGTAACAGGATGCATGGCCAGCCCCAACAGACACTGCTATTCAAAAGACTCAGATCTTGTGGACACATGAACCTATAGTGGGATCCACACTGACATATTCAAAGAAGCTGCTAGGATTTCTTTTATGTGCTTTGAGACGGCTAATGGTATACTTACATGATCAATTTCATCTCTTCCTTTCATATCATCGCTGTGGCTCTGCAGATCCACCAATACTAATCCATGAGGGTAAATTCTCAGATTGGAAAAACTACAAAGCAAAGTTACAGTGATTAGGATTTCATTTAACAACAACATTGTGGTTTACCAAGAGGAAAAACTGTTGCTTAATACAGTGCAATTCAGAAGTCTGGTAATTTTCCAGCTCCACTGTCAACAAATGATTTTCTCTCTCTGTTTCTTTCAAAAAGTAACTGAACAACAAACAGAGTTGACAGAGGCATGCCAGCCACCCTATAAGGATCATACAACTAATCTTAAAACAAACAAACAAACAAACCGCAGCAGTGCATAAAAACCAACACAGACATAACAAGAAGGAAAATGCACTGCACATTATCATATTCAAAGAATAGAGACTGATTTGTTGAGAGAGTTAGAGTTAGATATTTAAAAACAAAACAAGTTTCAGAAAACAATTAGCTATTCCCTTCCCTTTCACTTCAAGAGAACTTAAAGTATTAGAGCCACTTCATGCAGACAGCTTTCATGTTAACAGATTAATGACTATTCATAAGAAATAAAAAGCGTATTAGGGGAGGCGGGGGGGAGAAGATGACCACACACAATTAAGTGACAAAACGAGTACTAAATAAAGAGCAGGTAACTAGTTTCTACAAGTTTAATTACTGGAAACTTTTAAAGTGATTAAAAGTTTCCAGTAATTTTAGCTTTAAAGCGATTACCCTAAAAACTAAAAAGGGAGAGGCCATGGATGACATGAACTGAACCAACAACAACAAAACCATTTGCTCTATTCTAGAGGCCATTAATCGGCCATTTGCTTTGGATATCAGTGGGGTTTGGTTTGTTGGGGTTTTTTAAGCAAAGAAGAGAAGGCCTTTAAGATGGAACTCCAGTCCCTTTAAGAGAGAGCCTACAATGTCTCAGTTCACCAAAGTCTCTATTACAGGACCTGACTTAGGAGAAGGATATGCAGCATAATCCCTTTGGAGTAATTTTTTTTTAAAATCTACAGTAACGTCTATAGCAGGGGTAGGCAACCTATGGCACGTGTGCCAAAGGCGGCACGCGAACTGATTTTCAGTGGCACTCACACTGCCTGGGTCCTGGCCACCGGTCAGGGGGGCTCTGCATTTTAATTTAATTTTAAATGAAGCTTCTTAAACATTTTAAAAACCTTATTTACTTTACATACATCAATAGTTTAGTTATATATTATAGACTTATAGAAAGAGACCTTCTAAAAACGTTAAAATGTATTACTGGCACGCGAAACCTTAAATTAGAGTGAATAAATGAAGACTCAGCACACCACTTCTGAAAGGTTGCCGACCCTGGTCTATAAAGTACTTTTTAAAATATGCAGATTTATTGTTTTCCCTCTGAACCAGGTGGTATCAGAAACAGTCCACCCAAAGCCTTTCCCACTAATATTTAAGACTAACACCATTAAAACCATGGTTCACCAAAGCCACTGGACCAGTCTTTTTCCTCCTACTATCTAGTAAATAACTTCTGCATAATAAGCAACCTGCTAGTTCAGTTTGATGGAGGAAAGTAGACGAACAGTGATGTGATAGATCAGCCGTGGCCAAACTGTGGCTTGTGAGCCACATGCGGCCCTTTTACAGTTAAAGTGCGGCTCATGGACCCCGCACGCACCCTCCATTCTCTGCCTACCAGATGGGGGGAGAGGAAGGGAGGGGAGGGAGGGGAGCTCGGAGCATCTGCCCTGCAGCAAGGTGGGAGGATTAGAGGCTTCTGCCCTGCAGGGAGGGGAATCTAAGGGCTTCAGCCCCACAAGGGGGCGGTGGGCCAGAAGCACTGCACCTTAGCAGGAGCCGTCCCACAGGGCAGGTTGTGCACGTCTTGCAGCTCCGAAACTTCTGAAGATTATTGTATGCGGCTCGGAAGGTCAGAAAGTTTGGCCACTCCTGTGATAGACTCATGTTTGTCCTGTAATTCTAAGATCAGCTTAGTCACGAGGATGCTGCTCAATCACTTTAGAAACACTGTGACATTACCACTCTCTCAGGAGAAAGCACTCTCAGGTACTTTGTTCTAATAATAATGGTTTGGTTCTTTCTTTCATATCAACACTATAGTAAAAAGTTAGTGACAATCCTCAATAGAACAACTTAGGTATAAGCACGTTCAGTGCATTGATGGACATGAGCAATAGCAATACATGCAGTGAGACTTTCTTCAGCTTTTCAGAAATATATACCACAGTAAAAACCAACCAAGTTATGCTATTTATTTTTAAAGCAATCATGGGGACTGCAGTCTTCAGATTCACCATCTTTCCCCCCATCCATTCTTATACGGCAGAGCCACCCCGTCAGAATGTTCCCCAATTTTACTTTGATCGCCCTGAACACTCCACCAGCATCAATGCTTGGGTGTAAGAGCTGGTGTTTTTGAAAGATTCTACACACTATAGCATTGCCGTGTACACAAATGCTACAGAAGCAACATCAAAGCCAGGAAACTCTGGAGTAGTTTTTGTTTCGTGAGTGGGATGGCTAGGATCTGGTAAAAGTTAGCAGGAGATTGGCTCCAGCAAAGCAAGATTTGCTATAGTATAAGCAAGTCTTCGGCTTCCAGAAAAGGATAACTCCTTAGTCATATATAGAAGTTATTAAGTTAAGAATCTAGAGGTGGTCAAAAAATTTTGACGTTCAAGATTTCAGGCCACCTATCGGGGAGAAACATAAAAGACTGAAAACATTTGTGATCTTTTCCTCTTTTTCCCAAAAAACAGTTCTATAAAGAGCTGCCATTACTGTTCTCTAGCCTCTATGCAGGTGTGTCCCTAAAAGCATTTTTAGCCCTTTCTCTTGGTCTGTTTCTTAAGGCACATTACAAAAGAAACCCTGACTGGCAACAATGCTGCTGGAAAGAAGTAGTCAAGCATGGATGCAGAAGACTGCATGACAACTTTTTCCAACAGCTGGACACCCTCCACTACAGAAAGAGATTTTAATAAAGTGTGCTTGCCCAAGCAGGGCCGGCGCAACCCATTAGGCGACCTAGGCGGTCGCCTAGGGCGCTACAACTTGGGGGGCGGCGACCGCGGCGGTATTTCGGCGCCTCTGTGGGGGGCAGCACCTTCCACCGCCTAGGGCGTCAGAAAAGCTGGCGGCGCTCCTGTGCCCAAGCATGCTATAGACTAGCCCTATAGGTATGTACAATGCCTTCAGTCCAGGAGACTACATGGTTTTTGATCAAATACTTAAATGGAAGTACTTCTGTTGACTTTTTAAGTCAATTGATTCAGACCAATCCCTAACCACGACCCGTAGTGCTAGAGCATGTAGCTAGGTGGCACTCTTACTATTCTGTACTAAACCCATGCTCCGACATGGTGCCAGAGAATGCTGCACTATCAAATGTGCCATTTCAGACGTTTATCCCCATACTGTAACAATTGGAGGTATTTCACCTCCCGTTGGCCAGTTATTAATTTGGGTAGTCATCTCCTCTACACAAATTCCCCCCTGCAATTTCAATTTCCTGTCCTAAAGTGAGGCATTGCTATTACGGTTTAACAACTGCCATGTTTCACCTCCAATGTGGCTCATTTCAGAGCTGCGGGAGGTGCTTCCTCAATACATACATATTTTGTAAAAATTTTAAAATAAAGACACAATATAAAGGCAAGGTTATTTTATAGCAGGTATTAGAATATAAAGCAGAGGCTTTTCTAGACCTACATGGATTTTATCTATTTGTTATTTTAACTGTTGCCACAGGACCTTTTAGGCTTTACATGAGTGAAAGATTGCTGTCATGCCTCCTTTCTTCCCCAAAACTGGCATCTGAGTGGTTCATAGGGTCCCCCTAATTCAAATTGTAAATCTAACCCATACGTCCTGCCTCTAAACAGAAGACATTCTTAGCCTTTTTCTAAAGGCAAGTTGCACCAGTTTAACTAAAGTTAGTTTTTAAATCTGCTTAGCCAAACTGATGGAAACCCCTGCTGGTTACTGATTTACTTGTTTACCAAGTTAAGCTAAAACTGATTTAAGTGTGTCCACTAACTAAGCAGGTTTAAAAACAGACTTAGTCAAATCACTGCAATCATAGGTTTAGAAAAACACCCATTAACAACAGTAGGGCAGCAACAGTCCAAGGGTGCGGCCAGGAGACTTGCTAGCTTCCTCAGTAAATAAGACTCAGCAAAATCAAAAACTGTTACTATGCATTTCTGTTCAAAGTTCATTCTCTTTCCTAAGGTAAGTGTTCTCTTACTACCGGTCACACTGTGAGAGATCACGCTGTAAGTAACCATAGGGTGGCTGCCATCAAAAGCTGTTCAATTTTCTTGAATTGCTAGGTTAGGCAACCAGAAGGGGATAATTGCCTCAATGGGCTAGAGTCCTCTCACTGAAAGGTAGATAGGTAGGTAGGTAGGTAGGGAGTGTGTGTGTGTGTGCGTGTGTGTGTTTCAATAAGACACACTCACTAGTTTACCCCCACTGAAGTCACAAAATTATCGGGAAGCAAATGAGAGCAGAATCTAACCCAGTATCTTGTTACCACATCCCACCAACTCAGTCCTCGTTTGGAGCCAGATCTAAAGCTCACTGAAATCAAAGGGAGACATTTCAGCAACTTGAAATGGTATTGCATTAGACCTGTAGTTACTTACATCATTAGAGAATTTTCAAGGTGTCACTTCTAAGATCAGCAATTTTTAAGATTGAAAAGTAGATTAATACTGGAGTTTAAATGTTGTAAGTTCTAAAACAAGACTAATTTTTACATTAATAACGAGACTAGTTGAAAATAGTCAATGTGGTCTGTAAAATAGAAATATTCAAACATTTATTATTATGGTAGCACTTAGAGGTCTATCAGGTTGAGGCTCCTGAAGTGACACTCCCTGCGCACAGGAACATATATACAAAGATTTTGTTTTCCAGTAATTCCAGATGCAAGCAGTTGTTGGCCTGTTTAGATGGTACTTCAACTATTTAATATGCTAGAAGAGTCCACTTGGCAGAATGCTGCATATATAAAATAGTCTGGCCTGTTTAAATGCCAAATTATACTGTTCATATT